CAACAACAAGAACAACAAAGAAAAGAAAAAAAAGGAGAAAGAAACAATCTATTCAAAACATTTCATGAAAAAAAAGAGAAAAAAAAAGTTATCCAACTTAAAAAGGAAAATTGGCACCATACCATTCATAGTATCTATGGAGATATATATATAGAATCTCATTCATTTCGTTAGTCTCTACCTATCCTGTCCATTAATAATAACAATATATTCAATATTGTATATTATCTCAACCAAAAAATCTGGCAATAATAATAATAATTAGGGGAGTAAATAGTAATTCATTCATTATAATATTGATTTCTTTCCATCCATCCATCCCTCCCTTCCTCCTCCCACCCCCTCTAGCTCTATTCAATAATCATAATATAACCCATTGATTGTATTCATTCTATTCTCATCAGTTTCTATGTGTACGTGTTTGTTTTAATTATGAAATGAAATGTGTTCACTTTTATTTTTCTTAATAGTAAAACTAATATAGAAGAAAAAGGAAGAAAACCGGCATAGTAACACTGGACGTTTATATATTTTTTTCCAAGAGAAAACATTTTTATTTACAAAAAAAATCAATTAATCAATAAACGTGATAAATTAATAATAGGGGTGAATCGATTTTGTTGTTGTTAAGTCAATGTGTTCGAAGATTATTCAATTAAAGAGAAAAAAAAAGAAAAGAAACAAATAGTTGACATTGTGGATTCATTTTAATTCAACATGAATTATTATTCAGTATTTGAATATCAAAACTCTTATTCAGTCTGTATGCAAAACTTTTGTTAAGAATTAAATTTAGATTAGATATTGAATTGTTTAGTTTGTAGATGATGATAAGATGGTGATAAGCAATGGAATCGAGGATGGAAGTTTTGCCAAATCGGAGATATATCAATTGAAATTGACAATAGCTTGGAGTGGATGTTCACTTCAGAACTCGAACCCAGTACTGGTAGTATGTTATTCTAGTAACTCGACTAGCTTTTGCCAACTTGCGTCATTTATGGCGTAGGAGAGATATCCGTGTCTATCAACCAAAGGACGGGTTTACTGTGCAGCAGTTCGTTCCGTCCTACTTTATGGCAGTGAAACATAGCCGGTAATAGTAGAGGATATTTGTAGGTTACTAGTATTCGAACCATTCCTCGTATATCCTGTGACCATCGAGAAAGTAACGCAGTTGTTAGGAAACGGGTACTAAGCAAGGATGGCAAATCAATCGATGAAGTAATGAAACTTCATCAGTTCAGATGGATGGGACATGTGTTACGTATGCACAACCAAACCACCGACTGCCTCGACGTGCGATGTTCAGTGGTATAGGAATAGGTTGGAAGAAAGCTAGAGGCGGTCAGACCAAAACATGGCACAAATCCATTAAGTCACTGACAAGTGGACTGAGTCATATTGGTAGGTGTAGACTACCTGATTGGGGACCGCGAGATGATAGCAACCGATGGTTAGAGACCCTGAATGACACGGTTCAAAATCGTTTGCCATGGCGCAGGTGCATCCACTCTTTGTGTTCACCCAAATTCTAATCTCCTGAATCCTCCGTGTCTCTTGTTTCTCTTTCCAAATTTATTTAACTGGATTATACTCCTTGAATAACATCTTCAAACACTAATCTTTCTAATTACTGCTTATACTTTTACTACCTCTACCACTATGGGATTTGAATCGACAATTGTATCTTTGTGCTAATGTGGTATGGCAACTCGGACTGATGTATGTACGTATGAAGTTGTACGTTGTTACTGACTGACTCTAGTAACTTAGGATCTTATCAGTTGCCGAGATTAAACTATAAAATTCTGTACATTTCACGCATCATTCTAAAGCCTAGCTCTAATACATCAGAGAACAACGGAAATACACATCCTTCTCATCAAAATAATTTCATCTAACTACGAGCTGAATTAGTCTTGACAAAGTTTTGTCGACTGCACCTCATTATAATATATGTATTTCTAACAAACACAGATAGGCGGTTGTTAGAAATGAGGAAAGGACTGAAAATGAAAAACTAAGGACAGCCGATTTCCAGAAAATCTGTTAGAGCACTTTCTATGTGTAGCTATTAAAAATACGATTCATAATATTTTGACACTAGCTAAATTGAAAGCTTTCATGTGACCCATTAACTGCTGTGATATCTTTTGCTGTCCTTAATTACAATCGATTAATTGAAAACCTATCAGTAGGCTTTACATCATAAATCTCTTGGTGATGTACAGTAGTCACTAACCTTAAAGTAGGGTACTACCAGAGAACTCTAAATGTCCTGACTTGTTTGTAATGGTGGTAAAAAAGCATTGTTGAAGAATTTCAAACTTAAATTAAGTAGTTGCCTACGATTTCAGTTAGTATGTAGTTTAATTTATCAATGATAAAAACTGTTCTTTTGAGTTCATTAACGTAAAGACAGTTTCCAACAATCAACATAAAAATAACATTTTAGAAAGCAAGTGAAAAATCATCAATTAGAAATGAATTCTGCTCAAATCTAGACTTGATTAGAAATAGTCAAGCGATGGAACCTAAAGATAACTTCGTTCATCATTTTCATGGAGAATCGTAAATATTAGTGTTATTGCCTGTTTCGGAATTAATTGAAAACTAACCTTGAATTAAGTTGGACCAAATTCTTCCTTCCAAAATGGTACATGTAACCAGTTAGCTTACATCACTACTCCGCAGGGAACAACAGAAATCCTCAAAAACCCAAAATGATGAGATTGGTAAATACTAAACAATGACCACAATATGGATAGATGCTTTGAAAAGAGCGGCAGATGATTAAAAGTGTGATTTGATTTCAAGCTTGAGGTATGAATACAAAGTAACATAATGACTAGTAATGAGATTCGATAGATAGGTTGTGACATCTGCAAAGTTGGTCACATTTATCCAAACTATGACAAGTAAGTCTCTATTAGCCACCTAAGCAACCTTCCTATACATTTAAATGTACTAAAATCACGAACTGGCACTGTAACATCTTTTGGACGCGGAATTTAGCAGATGATGAAATAAGCGATAAAAAAAATGCTTTATTAAACTCGGAATATAGACTAAATGATACACTAAACTAATGAATTGATACCATGATAGCATAAATTGAAGGTAGCAAAAACATGATTCTCAATACATAAATCAAAACGGACAGTGGGTGATAGTGAATCATATATTTTTGTAACATAAAGCTAACGATGTGAAAGCTGGGACCAATACCTTAACACTAATGCCTAACCATAATCTAAAAAAGCCATTGGATATTGAAAAGTATCATTCTTTTTAAAACAGTGTCTTTTCGAGTAGGGATGGACGGTGGATAGCAGTGAAAACTAGGACGCGTGTTTCGTCCTAAACATCAATGGGAAGATTCAAACAACCAATATATGTAAATTAAAATTCACCTGATTGCATAAGTCAGTGGTTATCTGAACTAAGTAGATGTCGCGTCGGGGTGCGAAGAAATTGGTATTAGAATCGAGTTCCAGAATGAACATCAACTTTGGCATCCAGGTATATCCAAATAACGAGTCCCAAATGAAACGAAACGCACATCTTTCATTACACTTGGAGCCAATATTCATCTCTGCTTATAATGCGTGTGACCTATTATTATAAGCTTTGTTCAATATTATATTTTTGGTACAATATAGAATTCTTAGCACAAAGTATTTGAACAAGTTTCCTTTTCTTATTTCTTGATCTACCCCTGCGATAAAATATTGATTGTTCGCCAGTTAGATGTTGGCAGTTCAGAAATAGACATCTGATTAATGTTTATTCTTTTCGATGCATATTGCCAACAGCCACAATGTCTCTGATTGGTCTCTTTTGTAACTTGTACAGCGAAGAGTCGTAAACTTTTCACAAACGCATCTGAATAGGTCATACCAATTAATTGACGTAATGATGAGTTAAAACAAACAAGAAAACAGATAACTTAACGAAATATCTAGATGGCAAGAACACATAGGCCTGATATTCAATCGGGCCGCTTTGAAACATTATCGAGTTAATACACATGGAATTCACATATTCCAAAGAAAATAAAATGGTCAATTGGAGGCCCAAACAACCGATACGAATGAAATATACACGACTTTCCATTATTCATTTGAATGACCAACAGACCCAACACTATTCACTGTTTATCCTTGTCCAAGATGCACGTCTTCAACTTTTTATCTGGTTAGCGTTTTTTTAGCGAGTTAGTTTTCTACGGGATGAGCACCCTAACCTCATGCCCAACTCTCCTCCTTCAGCCCGGATTGGGACCGGCAGTAGCCTCAGAGGGCCTCTGAGCAGAGTCTTCAATAGTGAACATAAAAAAAGAAAGCAAATTTCTTAAACTGCTATATATTTCAATGGTTATGATCATGAGTCAGTTGAAGCTAGACCATCATGGAAAACCTGGAAGCACTGGATGGCCGTTTCGTCCTATTGTGGGACTGCTCAGCAGCGCGTATCCACGACCTTGCCCCCTGCGAGATTCGAACCACGATCTTAACCATTGAAATCACAAAACCCACCTGATGCTATAGATTTATTGATCTTTTTACACAGAACGGAGAGTAGATTAAAACAAACAAAACAAAAATAAAAATAAAACGAAAAAATCACAAAACAAAATCATTTAAAATAGAATCATTCATCTGAAAGAAGATAATTAAAATGGAGAGAAAAAAGAAGAAAAACTGAGAGTAAGGAAATGACAATTTCTGTATAATTGAATGTGTATTGTGCGTATTTTCATATATAAGATCAAGGTAAATTTCATCTGTTGAATGTTACTTGATTGTTTTCTTTTAAAACATTCATTGTGCACTAAAGAAACTGAATAATCCATCAGTAGTTTTGTGTATATGTATATGTATGTGTGTGTGTGTGTGGTTGTGTAAACAGTAAGGTGATTGAGACATTAATATACAATATACAAACTATAAACGGGAAGGCAAATGAAGAAAGAAAGAAAGAAAGAAAGTCCCTTGTCAACGTGAACATGCAATTTCAGTAAAATAATTTTGTAAATCTGTTATAGTGAATTCAAGTTGAATCCCAGAATCTGGATAACATTGTTGAATTAAATTACTAAAACGTAAACATTGTGTAATAAATTCTGTTTGTATTGATCTCCATACAACCTAAAAATTTAATAATGAAAACTAAAATAAGAATATAAATATGTTTGAAGTTTTAAAAGTGATTACATAATAGAAAAATATCAATCTCTTTAAGAGAAATTAATTGAACTCTGTATGACAAAACTTTCAATGAATCAAGTACATACAGTCATCATATCGATCAGACTAAATAAACAAGATATTGACGTCTGTTCTTCACGAGCTTTGGTTAGGCGTCGAAGAATTCTTCTTCGCCTGTTACTCCCAATGGAGCATAGGCAGCCGACCAGCATTCTCCAACCCACTCTGTCCTCCGCCTTCTTTTCTAGTCCCATCCAATTCTTGTTCATTTTTCTCATGTCTATTTCCATTTCCCGGCGTAATGTGTTCTTTGGTCTTCCTCTTCACTCCCATTGGCCTTGAGGATTCCATGTGAGGGCTTGTCTTGTGACACAGTTGGATGCTTTCCTCAATGTGTGTCCTATCCACTTCCAGCGCTTCTTCTTGATTCCTACTTCCAATGGGATCTGGTTTGTTCTCTCCCACAGTACGTTGTTGCTAATAGTGTCTGACCAATGTATCCGAAGTATTTTGAGTAGACAACTGTTAATAAACACCTGTATCTTCTGGATGATGGTTTTTGTAGTTCTCCAGGTTTCTGCCCTATACAGTAGAACTGTCCTGATATTTGAATTGAAAATTGTGACTTTGGTGTTGGTTGACAGTTGTTTTGAGCTCCAGATGTTCTTCAGTTGTAAATATGCTGCTCTTGCTTTGCCGATCCGCGCCTTCACATCTGCATCAGATCCACCCTGTTCATCGATGATGCTGCCCAAATACGTAAAGGAACATTCCATGTACCTAAATAAATGGTTGCTCTGGTTGTCAGAAGGGGCATCGACCTCGTAACTTCCGAAGGAATTCGGCTTTCATCATGAGGCGTCATAATTCTTCTAAATGAAGACCTTCTGACTCCCGTGGCAGAGTTTAAAAGATTTGAATAATTTTTCTGGTTAGCGTTTTTCTTAGCGAGTTAGTTTTCTACGGGATGGGGACGCTAACCCCATGCCCAACCGTCCTCCTTTATCCGGCCTTGGGACCGGCAGTAGCCCCCGGAGGGACTCCAGGCGGAGTTGTCGAAGAATTATTGAAGCTAATATTTTAGACACTATATTAGTTGTAATGATTCCTCTATGATTGTCACAAGAGGACTTTTGTCCTTTCTTAAAAACTGGCACAATCAGTGATTGAGACCAGTCAGATGGGATTGCGTCCAGTCCCCAAATTCTACCTGAGACCTCAGTTAATCTCGCTGCTAATACTGAACCACCATCTTTAAAAAACTCAGGAGTAAACCGGTCAGGGCCTGCTGTTCTCCTTCGCTTCAGATTTCCTATGGCTTTTTCAAATTCGTAAAGAGACGGAGGACCTACATTAAGTTGCCATCCAGGTTGACTGGAGATCGCGGAAAAAACGAAGTGTGGCTGAAGGCCAGTTGAACTGATCCCTAAAGTGTACTGCCCATCGATCTGATCTCCTGGATTGAGAATGTATAATATGTCCATCTTTCTCTGAAACTGTTTCGCTAACAGTCGGTTTCCTAATACTGGTTTCCTTAACGAGTCTGAACAATTGTCTGCTACTACCTATTGCCGCTGCCTTTTCGCTACCCACTACTGTTCACGATCATTGTGTAGACTTCTTGTCACCTTGCGTTTAAGCTGACTCCGCTTTTCGTTATGTTCAGAACCAGATGAAATGAGTTTCCGAGCATATATCAGTGCGGTAGATGATGCTGAGATCCAGTGTTTCTCCCTAACTTTGTGGTTTACCGTGCTAGCAGATATCACTGCTGTTTCCACAGCTTTTCATATATCATCAACCAAGAGAGTATAACCAAACACAAGTAGTTGTCTCTTGGGTGCAGCAGTTAGATTCTTAGGTCAAAAGACCATAAATTTTGTCAGATATTCCATGAAAAAATTATCCTTCCATGATTTTAGAAAGCGAAAAGAGACAATAGCATATAAATATCATTGAAAGCAACGTGAGATTACATTGACTAACAATATTTATTTGTCATTTTCAGTTTATGTAATAAAGAATCATAACAAATAGTTTAGTTTTACAATGCATTTAACACAATTGTATTATAAAGATAAATGAAGAGAAGATGAATAAAAATAGATATTGAATGTGACATAAATATTTTATAATTTGCATCGATACATCCCCATCTATATCACAGCAACCATTAAGTTGTTGTTGCTGATTGCCATTTAAACCATTTCAAATACATAATAGAAAGAAATGGATAGTCTTTTCAAATTAGATATAATAATTATGACTATTATTGGTGTTAATAAGTTTGTTAACTTTTGTTTCTCTCTTTTACGCACTTTTACACACACACACACACACATACACACATAAACGGATACACATTGATTATCATATATGATGATAGAAATTATGGGCTATGGGGATAATAAATAGAAAATACACAAACACATATATACTTACAGGGAACAAATTTTCTTCATCAGATAAATGTTTTTCAACTTTTTTACATAAACTTTCCAGACCATGTTTTACCTTAGATTTTATGCGATCATAAGAGGACAATTGAAATAAAGAGAGAGAGAGAGAGATAGAAAGAAAAGCATACTTCAATGTTTTATTTATACAAGGTTATGTAATATTATTCAATTAGATATTTTACATTAATTGGGACTTAGGTAATTATCAATAAATGCCTGGTATGACCGAGGGTGGAGAGAGTCAGCTCTCCGTCTCAAAATAACCTCAAATGGATAACGCGTATACAGCCACTGACTTATCGTGATGAGGGTGTTGTTTACAAAATTGAGAGGGCGAAAAAATGAATGTACAACGCTATAACTGAGTTGGTAGACACATAAGATCCACATAGAGCAATTGGTAAACTCTCATTCCAAACCAATTGTGCACATGAACTCTAGTATCCTGAAGGAATAAATAGCGTATGAACCACTTATTGGTCACTGGCTATCATAGAACGGTATCTCCTAACGTTGCTCTATTGCCTTGTGAACCAGACCTTTAGGTCGAAGGCTCGAGGTATGGATGTCTAAGAAAACCACCTGCTTCGATTTGGGCACACACACACACAAATCAAGTGACTTATGTGGCGCATATGTATTCGATGCCCGTTTGTAGCAATATTTATATGTTCAAATAAATAATAATTTAATAGTATTAAGAAAATACAGCATATTTCTTTCTTCTTAAATGATATTATTTATGATGAATCAATGAAGAAATCAGTCAGTCAGCTACAACGTAGGACCAGGCACATATGTGCATCGGTCCAGGTTGCCATACCGCATCAGCACAACAAGATGAACACTGGATTCATAGCAGTGGTTAGGTCAAAGGTGGTAATATATAAGACAAAGATTGCATATAGAGATATAGTACAAGAAGAAAGAATTGGTTCGTAGAAAGAAAGATATGAAGTAATTTTAATCTCATAGTTTAAGGGAAGACAGGGAGTGTATACACCGACGCCATTGTGATCGATTCTGAGCCATGTCACACACAGTCTCCAACCATCGGTTACGATAGTCACGCGGACCCCAACCAAGTAGTCTGCATCTACCAACATGGCTCAGACTAGAAGTTAGTGACTTCAAGCACTGATACCACGTTTTGGTTTAGCCGCCCCTAATTCTCTTCCAACCATCTCCAATACCGGATAGCATTGCACGTCGTGGTAATCGGTGTTCAGGCATACGTAACACGTGGCCCAACCATCTCAGTCGATGAAGATTAACAACCTCATCAACTGATTTACCATCATTTCCTAATACCCTGCGTTTAACCTCACTATTACTTACCCGGTGATCTCAACAGACGCCAGCAATATTTCTGAGGCATCTGTGGTCAAATACTAGTAGCTTACGAGTGTCTTCTACTCTTAATGGCCATGTTTCGCTGCCGTAAAGTAAAACAGAACGGACTGCCGCGCAGTATACTCGTCCTTTTATTGATAGACGGATATCTCGCCTTCGCCATAGGTGACGCAAGTTGGCAAAAGCCAAGCGAGCTTTTCGAATCCGTGCTGAGATTTCGTCAGACACCAACCCATTAGGGCTGATCAGACTTCCAAGATAAGTGAAGTTGCCAACGCGTTCGACTACTTCACTCCCTATCCTTAGTTCAGGTGTTGACGCAGACCAGTCCTGAAGCAACAACTTGCATTTAGAGGGAGAGAAGCGCATCCCAAACATTCTGGCATTGTTGCTTAGTGCTACCAGAAGACTCTGCATTTTGTCAGCGTCTTCACCAAACAGGACTATGTCATCTGCGTATTCTAAGTCGATAAGTGGACCTCCTGGATGGAGATCAATACCCGAGAACTCAGTCGAAATAATATCATCCATATGAATCAGATACTTTTACATATGAACCAGAGAATCTAAAATTATGAAAGTTCACATGTGATCTTTTCTGTGCTGATATGACGTGCCAAATCTTATTTTATTATTATTATAACACGTTTATTCATCAAAATAAAAGAATTCACAGCATTTATTACTATTTTATTATGTAATAATGTAATGAATATCTCAGAAAAACGGCTAAAGTTTACTAACAGTTTAAATGATACAACTATTTTGTTTATTTTGTTTTTGATTCATTATATGACTGAATTTATTATTTATTTAATTGAACACAGGAATATTGGTACAAGGAGGCACCAAACAGATATGCAACATAAATCATTCGATTCGTGTATGAGGGCTTGGATACGTCCCGGATGCCAAAACCAAAAAAGGTGGTTTTCTTAGGCGCCACACCCGGAGTCTTTAACCTAAGGGTCTGATCCATAACGCAGTAGAGCAACATCAGGAGATGCAGACCCATGGCAGTCGGTGACCAACGATTGGTTCATACGAGATTTGTTGCTTCAAGATACTGGAGCCCATGTACATCACTGGTTTGGAATCAGTGTATTCCAACTCCCCTAGGTAAATTCTCCGTGTCCACTAACCCGATTAAATCGCCGGATAATCGCTTTTCGTCCTCTCATTTTCGTAAACAACACCGCTGCCACAAGGCAGTGAGTAGGACTGCCCTGGTAGTGATGGTATGCATATGTCCGTGTGAGAGCTGACTCTCCCCACCCTCGGTTGTACCAGGGCATTTGGGGGCATGAGATCGATTATATTCGTCTCTCGATTCTTTTAAACGGTAAACAAATGACAAAAAAATTCGTCAAAGTGTAGTTTTCAACTCAAGATTCCCAGTGTTTAACATCGAAAGAAGTTTTAGTCGTATGAGCACACATAGTTATGATGATTAATTATTTATTACAAATAAATCTAGAACAAGCAAGTTTAGTGCAAGATTTACACAGTTAAAAAATAGGTAACTTAAAAATTTCGACACAAGGCTCTGACAATTCAAAAACACAGTGAGCTGACTCCACCTGATAGGAATTTAACACACTTGAGCTCATCCGATTAGAGTTCTAATTCAACCGATTGGAATACTGAGACTCTATTCGCGGTTAGAACATTTCTGACTAGTCTTATAACCAGACACCCATCTTAAGTAAGTAATTCTAGATACTAACATTTATTTTATGAACTTGACGAAAAAGCGAATAGCAAACCCCCTTTATAAGTGAATAATTTATACTCTTATATAATTATATAATGAAAATTATGATCAATCTGTTATCATATCAAATAAAGAGATGGGAGAGAGAAAAAAATTGATTAGAAGACAAAGTTCTTCTTATACTAAAAGTTCCCAATCAACACTGATACTGATGATGATGTCCATAATGACAGTGAAAATTTCACAAATAATTGGGCTCGGTTAAAAACACACACTTCAAACAGATCTTTATTATGTCAGACTATTTCTAGTAAACATCTCTGATCATCTAATGTTATGCACTTGCTAATAGTCCAATAGAAATCATAACTGATAATTCAGTCAGTCAGTCAACAAAGTGAAACTTCGCACGTACGTACATCAGTTCGAGTTGCTATACCACATTAGCACAAAGATACAATTGTCAATTCAAATCCCACAGTGGTAGAGGTAGTAAAAGTATAAGCAGTAATCAGAAAGATTAAGGTTTGAAGATATTATTCAAGGAGTATAGTCCAGTGAAATAAATTTGGAAAGAGAAAAAAGAAAGGGACATGAAGAAATCAGAAGATTAGAATTTGAGAGAATACAAAGAGTGGATGCACTTGCGGCATTGCAAACGATTTTGAGCCATGTCATTCAAGGTCTCTAACCATCGGTTGCTATCGTTTCGCGATCCCAACCCGGTAGTCAACACCTACCAACATGGCTTAGTCCACTTGTCAGTGACTTTATGGATTTGTGCCATGTTTTGGTCTGGCCGCCTCTAGCTTTCTTCCAACCTACTCCTACACTATAAAACATTGCACGTCGGGGCAAACATTATACGTATATAAAAAATTAAAATAATTTCTATCAAAGAAACACACACACACACACACACAAACGTTGTTCATATATTCAACGAATTATTATGAAATAAACTATTATTTATGGATTTTTCTTTCGCGTTATTCACCTACCTCTTTTCCAGGATATTCTTTGATAACTTTACGTAATTCTTGTTTACTAAAAGCAAATTGATAACTAACCACTTCAGATCGTACACCAGCATCCAAAGCACTTTGAACATTTTCAAAAAAGCTCTTTAAAATGATGTATAGAAAAAATGGAATATAATGTATGAAAAAACAACAATGAATAATAAGTAAATAAAGTAATACTTAGATAGAAATAATGCTGATAAAGAATATTTATGGCTCAGTAAAATGATTTTGGAGATGTTGTGTTCCTTGTACTGGATCAATAAGTCGTGAAGTTTCTAATATTCTCTTCATAGACAATATGATCAAGAAGTATTTGAAAGAGAAGTAAGCTGTTAGACTCTCGACAAATGACCAAAAGCATATTTTACTGACATGGAATCTTATGAGCTAATGTAGACAACTATGGATATGAGTTCGATTGAGAAAGTGTTGAATTATAGGATAGAGAAAACAAATGCTTATGATCAACAATAAACCAAATATTGGGTCAACGGAACAAGGAGTTGATCAGCTGCTGAAAAAATTCGAATACAGCACGAAATGATCTTAATTAGATGAGTATTGAAAATACAGTTGCATGTCGAACGAGAATAAAAATTTGGAGTTCGATACGCGGATGTAGGGTTGTCGATGCACACTGCTGACGAGCCATGTGATAGGATGAAACGACATTTCCAAAATGGTCTAATATCAGCTCACAGTTTAAGAGCTACAGAAATTCTATAGTCACCACATAAACCGATGCTGACAATCCTAATAAATCATTTCTTATTGAACTGTGTGCTAAAAACGTTGTTTAGAAAGACAACGAAAATTTCACAACTAGACTATCTAATTCCACAAACAAGAAATATCAATTCTTACGTGTATAGAAGAACAAGTGACCTACATATTTGACCACCTCACATGAATAATGATGAAACAAGATAATTTTTCGTTCCAACATGACAAGTTCAAAAATATTAATACGTGTCTCACACCAATAATTTGTGTAGTCTAATGGTCATGAACTATGATCTTATTGGCATATCAGCCTTTAGATGAAATCGATTGCAAAAAAGGCATTTACACTCAAATCAAACTGAATTTATCAATGATTGTTATAATTTGTAATTGTTTACTTGAGTCTGATGGTGTTTCGGTTTTAGAAATACTCGATACCACGACTGTAGCTGCCAGCTTGATACCACGGCGATCGCAGTTATCAATGATGCAGACTGAATGGAATTAAATTAACTGGAATACTTCCTCTCGGCACCTTCTTAATGAAATGTACTCTATCAAGACCTGTATTTGAAAGCTTCAAGTATCTGAATAGTTGTGTTAGTCTTTGTGGTGGTGTGGTGAATGAAATTAATCTACACATAATGACAAACTGATGTCAGTGTGGCTGTAAGATGTCTGGTTTGTAACGATATCGCTGGCAACAGTTTCACTCTAAGTTTGTTAAACTTGAGCCCTCCGATGTAGGGATTCTTGGCGACTATCTACGTTTGATTATATTTGGCTATCCTGGCTTTGCACAGATGGTACGATAAATTAACATTTCTGATAATAACCTTTAAAGCTTTACAGAGCAAACATAATAAAAAAGTATCTACAAAACGGTCGTGAGTGACCGGTCATAAGTAAACAATCGGCGAGACTCTAATTTATGGACGACCTTTGAACGAATCTTAAGTTACCTTGAGAAATATTAGCCAATCAGCGAACAGTCGGCATAGAGTAAAAATATATTATACAAAATCAAGGAAATAAAGTTGATACACTTCTTATATGTGGTTCAAAAACTTTTCAAGGTTAGGAAGAGGTTCAGAGGTTCTAGAATCCTAATGCATGCAATAGAGGAAATCATCCATACGGCTACAGAATACTCGGCCTCCGGAGCCATGATAAAGTCTCAAATACTCTTTCAGCCTTGACCACATCGTTTCAATAGTGTTTATGTGCACTTCGGTTGCTGAGTACACAAAATGCTACTTGTGGATAACGACATGATGCACATAACCAAGCCCATATAGGAGTCTGTACGCTCTCCAAACATCCGTATATATTGTAGTATCTGGCTGCAACCAGTGTTAATGGTGCTTTAATTATCCAGTTCGCAATACTTGTCATAATTTGCCTTAGTTAGGAATTATATATGGGGTTTTCATCACGAACTGACATCATCTCGTCCATAAATTAGAGCCTCGCCAAACAATCTCTTGGATCCTATGGTCGATCGACAAATGCATGAATAAAAATCTATTTTCCTTTTCTTATTTATTTACTCATGCATGTTACTCCCGATGGAGCATAGGCAGCCGACCAGCATTCTCCAACCCACTCTGTCCTCCGCCTTCTTTTCTAGTCCCATCCAATTCTTGTTCATTTTTCTCATGCCTATTTCCATTTCCCGGCGTAATGTGTTCTTTGGTCTTCCTCTCCTCCTTTGGCCTTCGGGATTCCATGTGAGGGCTTGTCTTGTGACACAGTTGGGTGCTTTCCTCAATGTGTGTCCTATCCACTTCCAGCGCTTCTTCTTGATTCCTACTTCCAATGGGATCTGGTTTGTTCTCTCCCATAGTAGGTTGCTGCTAATATTGTCCGGCCAACGAATCTGAAGTGTTTTGCGTAGACAAGTGTTAATAAACACTTGTATGTTCTGGATGATGGCTTTCTTAGTTCTTCAGGTTTCTGCCTCATACAATTTTTCTTTTCAGTTTGCACCAAAAAACTTTTTTTACAGTATACACAACACGGAAATCGCAACTGCCTATCAGCCTTTATTCCAAAATCATCGAAATTCAATGACTTGTTAACAAATACCTCCCTAGCTCCACATTCAAGCACTGAGTAATCATAGCTAAATCTTGACTAATGATTAATTAAATAATGCACGTTCACAGAGTAATATCGAGAGAATTTTGTACAGTATTAAGAAATAGATATTTATTGTGTCAACTGGAAGTCAATTCAGGGATCAACAGTACTGTGTATCAAAATACATTGTACATAGATACGTCACCCACTATCAAGAATACAAAGAAAGCCAAAAGTCTAATCCTGCTCCAACCAATGATGATATAAGGACAAAACGGAATTCTTACCATATCCATGAAAGTCAGCTATTCAGGGGTATTAGTTTTATAGTATTTGACTCGATAGTACATGCGAGATTTAAGAAATCAAAATGGTGACTATAAAAAAATTCCATTTACTTTGGTTGATCTCATATGTAAAAGGAGAGGATAATGCACTTCATAAGCAATAATAAATAAAGAAAAGAAAGTCAAATGAACTTACTGCTAATTTCTCCAATGGACGACCCATACATGTTTTTGTATATTCTTGTAAAGCTAAAGTATAACGATTCTTAGCATCTTGACGATAATCATCTAAGCTGGACATTTTTAAACGTCGAAGAATATCACAAAGACGATGATAATTTTCTAATATAAAGATAAAAAAGAAAAAAGAAAATTATAATAAGTAACAAATAAACACAAGAAACTTGATTAAAAGCTTCTTTTTGTTATTTTAAAGAAAATATGAGTCAACCAATGTATATTCTTAAGACATATGAACTCAAATCTATTCAGTATATAATAATATTTGATCCTGATCGGAAAAGATCACTTGTTTAGACCTATATATCTCACTATAAGAAAGAACTATACTACTAAATTCAATGGAGTAGTAGTATTCAGATTACAGAATAAATAATTAGAATTAAGGTGTCACAAGGATAAAATCATATCAATAACAATTCATGAATCAATAAGGAGCATCCACCAAGTAATAATAATAACAATAATGCTGAAGATATATCCCGATCGTTGTTGCAACCTTGAAGTGGTGGTCGGGCCTGCCTATCGTGATGAAGCAACCGAGCTATACTGGCTGGAACAACTGTTCCTCAAGGTCTTACCATGTCAGACAGGTCGGTTGATGAGCGGTAAGACTAAAAGCAACAAACCCAAGGTCCGAAGGCGAAGTCGTACTGCTAACTGTACAGAGGTGTGACAGCACTAAGGTGTTTCCTCCAGACAACCAGCATGACAGCGATGCTGCCTTCCCACAAGGATGGGTGGGGTTAGAAATGGTCGACCCTAAAAATGCACACTTCACCTTATCTCACGGATATCCGTCTCCGGCGGTAAGGCCCTTTGAAGAACGGAGCTAACACGTCAAAAACCTCCTACGAAAAGGCCGTGCGCGACCGGCCTCAAGCAAGTGTCCCTTGGGCACTGCGGTCACGCTCCCAGGTCACTAAGACCACCTCTAATCCAATTTCCTTTTCAGATACCCCCAGAACAACCCTTCCACGGTGTGGGCAACCGGGAATTGATAACCGCCCTCATACCTCTAACAGCACTCAAGACCACTGTATTCATAATCAACCTCCCTCTTCAATTCCTATTATTCCTCCTACATCGACTTTCAACTTTAAATTTCCTCTCTCGGCTTCCACCTCAAGTGTCACCATAGCCAACGATTCTAGTGCGCAAAACACTGTCCCAGGTCTACTGAAACCTCGCTCCAAACTACACATTGGAGCCTTCAACGTACGCACCCTATGTCAAATCGGTCAGCAGGCTTCCTTGGCTAAAACCCTAGAATCTCGTACCATTGATGTATGCTGTGTCTCCAAAACACGCATACAGGATCCCAGTGTGGTCATTCACTTGACGTCACCTCGGCAAAAGGGAGAGCCAACGAGATACACCCTCCGTGTATCTGGTGACCCGACGGCCAGCTCTCGTGGACTGGCAGGAGTAGGGATAGCACTAAGCATGAGGGCGGAACAAGCACTGTTAGAGTGGATCCCCGTCAACAGTCGTTTATGTGCCGTTCGGCTGAACGGCTACGTAAGAACTCGGAAGGATAGGGACACACGTCGTTGCCTTTTTGTCGTTTCTGCCTACGCTCCCACTGACTGCAGCTCAGATGAAGTGAAAGATGAATTTTACAGAAAGCTGTCCGAACTTCTTCAGAAAGCTAAACGCTCAGACATAGTACTCGTAGCAGGTTATTTTAATGCTCAGATAGGTAGCTTAAACCAAACAGAAAGGCATTTAGGTGGATATTTCAGTGTTCCGACACAGCGAACAGATAATGGTGATCGTCTGCTGCAGCTATGCTCAGACAATCGTTTATTTTTAGCAAACACAAATTTTAAGCATAAGGAGAGACATCGTCTAACATGGCGACCCCCTACACCAAACTAACGATGGACTCAAATAGACCATATTGCCATCAGTCATCGTTGGAGAGGGTCGGTAGAAGATTGTCGCTCATTCTGGAGTACCTGCTTGGACTCCGACCATGCCCTAATACGGGCACGCATCTGCTTGCGCCTCACTGGACGCAAAAAAGCCACATTAAAAAGACCCGTCAGAACTGAGTTGAGTAACGAGAAAATCAAAAGTAGGTTCCAGGAACAACTGAGGTCACACTTAGGTAGTTGTGAAGACGAGGCTGACCCAGATGTTGCTTGGAAGGGCATACAATCAGCTGTGGAAACAGCAGTGACATCTATTAGTGACTTAAACCACAGAGTTGCAAGGAACCAGTGGATTTCTTCAAGGTCTGTCACACTGATGGATTCTCGTAAACTCGTCCCATCAGGTTCTGAACATGATGAAGAGCGAAAACAAATCAGATCTAGGTTAAGAAAAAGTCTAAGGAACGACCGTGAGCAGTGGTGGGAAACGAAAGCAAAAGAGATGGAAAAGGCGGCGACTATAGGGAACACAAGACAGCTTTACAGACTAATAAAAGAAACTGGAATTAATAAGTCAAGTGTAAGTGAGATTATTTCGGAAAAAGATGATACTCTCATCTGCTCCCAGTCCAGGCGTTTAGAACGATGGGCGGAACATTTTAGAGAACAGTTCAGCTGGCCTTCAGCTACTGTACAACTACCCTCCATTCCCAGACAGTGTGAATGGAACATTGAAGTAGGTCCCCCAACTCTTGCTGAAGTTCAAAAGGCTATAGTTAATCTGAAACGAGGAAGGGCAGCTGGTCCAGATGGATTGGCTCCAGAGGTCTTTAAGGATGGTGGTCCAATTTTAGCGATTAGGTTGACTAATATTTTAGCTAAGATCTGGGAATTAGACTTTATCCCATCTGACTGGTCGCAATCACTTATCGTCCCAATATATAAGAAAGGGTCAAAATCATCCTGTGACAACCACAGAGGGATTAGTTTAACAAACATAGTATCTAAAATACTGGCCTCGATAATTATCAAACGCCTAACTAAGACTCGTGAACTACAAACTCGAGAGAACCAAGCTGGCTTTAGACCTGGTCGTGGCTGCATCGACCACATATTCACCATTCGTCAGGTTCTAGAACACAGGCATACCTATCGGCGTCCGACAATGGTGGTCTTTCTTGACTTAAAAGCAGCATTTGACTCGGTAGACCGCGAGACTCTGTGGCAGTGTCTGTCATTGAAAGGCGTACCTCAGAAGTACATAAACCTTGTGAAGGCTCTTTACTCGAACACTACTAGTCGAGTCAGAGCTTATGGCGAACTGTCATCTACTTTTGCAACTTCAAGTGGTGTCCGTCAAGGCGGTTTCTCCATTTTTGTTTAACTTCATCATAGACCTATTGATGGAAATAACACTCTCGTCGACTGAATTCTCGGGTATTGATCTCCTTCCAGGAGGTCCACTTATCGACTTAGAATACGCAGATGACATAGTCCTGTTTGGTGAAGACGCTGACAAAATGCAGAGTCTTCTGGTAGCACTAAGCAACAATGCCAGAATGTTTGGGATGCGCTTCTCTCCCTCTAAATGCAAGTTGTTGCTTCAGGACTGGTCTGCGTCAACACCTGAACTAAGGATAGGGAGTGAAGTAGTCGAACGCGTTGGCAACTTCACTTATCTTGGAAGTCTGATCAGCCCTAATGGGTTGGTGTCTGACGAAATCTCAGCACGGATTCGAAAAGCTCGTTTGGCTTTTGCCAACTTACGTCACCTTTGGCGAGGCGAGATATCCGTCTATCAATAAAAGGACGAGTATACTGCGCGGCAGTCCGTTCTGTCTTACTTTACGGCAGCGAAACATGGCCTTTAAGAGTGGAAGACACCCGTAAGCTATTAGTATTTGACCACAGATGCCTCAGAAATATTGCTGGCATCTGCTGGGATCACCGGGTAAGTAATAGTGAGGTTAGACGCAGGGTATTAGGGAATGATGGTAAATCAGTTGATGAGGTTATGAATCTTCATCGACTGAGATGGTTGGGCCACGTATTACGTATGCCTGAACACCGATTACCACGACGTGCAATGCTAACCGGTGTAGGGGATGGTTGGAAGAAAGTTAGGGGCGGCCAAACCAAAACGTGGCATCAGTGCCTGAAGTCACTAACTTCTAGTCTGAGCCATGTTGGTAGATGCAGACTACTTGGTTGGGGTCCGCGTGACTTTCGTAACCAATGGTTAGAGACTCTTGGTGACATGGCTCAGAATCGATCACAATGGCGTCGGTGTATACACTCCCTGTCTTCCCTTAAACTAAGAGATTAAAATCACTTCATATCTTTCTTTCTACGAACTAATTCTTTCTTCCTATACTATATCCTTATTGCAACCTTTGACCTAACCACTCCTATGAATCCGGTGTTCATCTTGCTGTGCTAATGAGGTATGGCAACCTGGACCGATGCACATATGTGCCTGGTCCTACGTTGTAGCTGACTGACTGACTGACTGAAATTGAATAATAATGGAAGACATAACCAGTAGGTAACACTATTACATTATTTGGTGAGTTTTTAGTGAATTCCAAGCGCTTGGATAATACTAATAATAATCAGTCAGTATCTTTAACGTTATACCTGGTACCTTCAAATCACAATAGTGTTATCAGTTAGAACAGATTGCATTTTTTTGTGTCGAGATATGATGTGTAAATTGACCGTTAAACAGGACACATTTAAGAATATCTCTGGGAAACAAGAATCAATGAATTCATATTCCAAGAATGTTCAATGGAGCATTAAAAAAGAAATATCAAAATAAATAATAATGATGAATTTACCTAACTGGACAACTTCACCGGGAGTTTTCACACTTCTTGATGCAACTCGATCAATTTCAGTCATTAAACAACGTACTAATTCTCTATGGGCACGTTCTAGATCAACTAAACGTGAACTCTTAGCAAATACAGTCATTGAACATTCAGCGAATTCAATATAAGTGCGAACCATTGATAATACACCACATCGTACTTTTTTACACGGTTTACTTGTTTTAAATGAAATAATTAGACGCTCCTGATGAAGAATTTTAAAAAATGCAAATCATATGATAACATATATACAATGAATGGGTTTACTTACTATTTATATCATACATAAATAATACCTGACAGTTTAAACTAATGTTCAGAGTATGGTTAAAATTCGATGATTGCAAGTCACGTTCTCTAATCACTAAAACATCGTACCTCATAATAAGCAAAGATGGATAGTGGCTAGCAGTGGAATCCAGGACGCGCGTTTTGTCCTGCTTGGGACTCGTCAGCTGGATGCACCTGCATCTGAGTTGATGTCCACTCTGGGACTCGAACTCAGTACCGTTCGCTTCAAACGCAATCGCGTTATCCACTCAGCTACTGAGTCCTGATAGTCACTTGCTTGTGCAATGGGTTGAAGTTTAATTCACTTGATATTGTTTTACTTGAATCTTCCCATTGATGTTTTAGGACTGAAATTGATCAGTCTTTGATTGGCATATGTGCATACTGTGCGTATGCCTCGATATTGCCTTAATTTACAAGCATTATAAGCAAAGATGGATAGTGACTGATTATCACAGTCCTAAATATCAATGCGAAGATTCAAGTAAAACAATATCAAGTGAATCGTAACACATAGTTTAAATATGTATCCACTCAAGGTTTTTTTTACCTGAATGACTGAATCACAGCTCTAATTCTAGAGAACAAAAGGTCCGATCCCTGGTGATGTGAATTTGTACCGGTGGAAAGTCTCATACTAGGATAGAACAACTTTTCAATCGATCCTGATTTTTACTCGTTGTTCAACTTAGATTGGTTTGTAATGTTAGTCATAGAATTCAACTGTCCTCACAAACTTTCTTTACAGTAATAATCATGTGCACACTAGCGATTACTTTGAAAAGGTAACTCTCGCAGTTCTAATAAGAAACTGTGACCAGAGAGATAGGTAGTTTCGATCACAGAGTTAAAGTAAAAACTATGGTCGAAGTGAAGTAGAGATCAAACCTAAAACCTATGGGTCAATATCTGAATGAGCTCTTATTGACTACTCCATACTTTTAGGTCAAGGTTTAAGATATTTTCCTGAATTTGAAAATAATCAATTCTTATAGATTGATAGTAACTTGAAGAAGAACAAATTATGAGAATTAGATAGCTGTTTCGTCTTCAATTCCAAACTTTTCATCAGGGATCACCAACAAGCACGTTCAGAATCGGAAAAATAGGATCTCTATATGACTTTTTCAGTTAATCAATATCGAATCAACAACAACAAAAAAAAAATAGGCAACAATATTGTCAGTAAATTTTTTTGTTCAGAAAATTATTACTTACAACAAGACGATTAAAAGCTCGTTTTGTTTCAATAGTAAGTCGTGATAAAAAATTTGCAATATATGTCATTGGAATTTTATCAGAATCTTGTGATTCTAATTGTAGTTGACTAGTATTGGGAATCCCATTACTAGAATTAGAATTATCCAAATTGGTTGTTGTGGTTTGTTGTGAAGGTGATGATAATAATGATGATGATGATGATGATGTTAATGTAATTTCATTTTCTGTGATACGTGAAATTGTAATTAACAATGGCATAATCAATATAGCTTGTAATTGTTCACAATGAGTGATTAAATTTATAACATCTTGTTCAACACTATCGAATAAATGAACCATACAATCGAATAAAGTAGATAATTCATCGCCTTTATAATTTTTATACATAACAGTATTATGCTGGGGGAAAAAAGAACATAATATACACAGAGTGAGAGATGGGTACGTTTATGTGAGAATGAAAATACTTTTTTTAATGTAAGCGATTAAATAAATAATCTATGATTAAGTGGGGATGTGAGAGATGACATAAAATCAATTGCATGCATTCCTTACTTGGTTGGGGTCCGCGTGACTATCGTAACCAAGGCTTGGAGACTCTAGGTGATATGGCTCAGAATCAATCACAATGACGTCGGTTTATACACTCTCTGTCTTCCCTTAAACTAAGAGATTAAAATTGGTTCATATCTTTCTTTTTACGAACTAATTCTTTCTTTCTGTACTATATCCTTACATAAAATCTCCTTTATATATTACACCGTTGAGTTAACTCCTTCTACGAATCCGGTGTTCGTCTTGCTGTGTTAATGAGGTGTGGCAACTTGGACCGATGCATGCATGTAACTGGTCCTACCTTGTAACTGACTAACTGACACGCATTCCATTTCACTATAACTATCCTCGTAAGAACTGCTATCATTGATTTTACGTTCCATGTTGTTTTGGTTATATCAAGTAAAATAGTTTAGACAAAATGTCAATGACTTTATCAATAGCTAATATATCTCATTTTGACCACCCATGGCTCTCATTCAAATGACATATATATATATATATATAACAGGAAACATTGCATATCCAGATAGTTGGTGATTTGAAATTATCAATACTTATCCCAGACACTTAAATCGATAAAGAATTACAGTTTCATTGAACAATTTTCTATTTTCCGCTTGTGATTTTATGCTTAACCTAAGCTTTGTTTATTCCATCATTTCACAACATAACTATCCAAAAGAAAAAAGGGAGAAAAATTACGTCGGTAAAGAAGAATAACTCAAGACCTTAGTTTAAACATCTTTTTCTCATTGCCATCATACAAAGAAATCTCAGTTTAACATTCATAAAGTCAATGAGAATTATCAATCATTTGGAAAAAGTCTTATTCAATGTCCTTATGGTCTGTTAACTATTATGTGATACGATCACCAATTAGAACAACGGTTATTGACCAGACCAATGACACATAAACCAATACCAGCAGCCTAGAGTCAACTCCGAGTTCTCATTGGTCTACTGAGATATTGGCTTCTTGCCCAACCCAGACGGTTTAGTCCAGGACATAAGTTTTTGATGGAGTTTTGTTGTAGGACTTTCATTGTTATTCTGAACAACATCATCAACACAAATTTCAAATTAAAGTGAAGTGTTCGAATCTCTCCACATATTGTTCACAGCTTTTCTTGTAGACCTCGATGTTGATTGGTTATTTTTGAAGTTAAACCATTCCAGAACATCAGTATTAGTCTCCACTATATGGATCCTATATTTCAAACATACTTGGTTTATATACAAACAAACCAGACCTCATAATATCACAAAATAGAAAATAACATCTGTATTAAATCAAGCCAAAAAGTAGCGTTGATTGTGAGAGACTGAAACTAATAAATTGGGAATAACTTTAGAATAGTAAATCGTACAATAAATCAAACGTAAGCTTATAATAAAAGGAATATGAATATACATATAATATAGTTACTGAATAGTTATCCAAAAAGAATATATGTGATAACAGTTCATAAGTAATTCTCAACAGTTACCATTCCTTTATTTTTCGTCAGAATATAACACTAAGACGTTAATCACCGTGACAACATTAAAAGAAAACATATCATTACTGCTCTATCACAAGAATATTATTAGCATAGAAAGCATTGAATGTATATGTAGAACCAAAGAATTAAAACAAGATAGAGTGGTTCAATGGATCAAAATGTCTCATCTTACCAAGTGAATTCATGCGCAAGTATATAGAATCGTAGATGCTTATCGTCTATGACATAGGTGTCTGTTGATACTGATAGTAATCATGATCAATCAAACACAGTATAGCAACACAGAACAGGTTACAAAAACAGAAATATATGTAAGTCTATAGGTGTTCATAACTTAAATCACTCTATAGAAAATAAATTTTCTTTAACAAATTGCAACCATTGGTTGGAGACCTTGAATAACATGGTTCAAAATCGTTTGCAATGACGCAGGTGTATCCACTCTTTGTGTTCACCCTAATTCTAATCTCCTGATTCCTCCTTGTCTCTTTCTTTTCTCTTTCCAAATTTATTTCACTGTATTATACTCCTTGAATAACATCTTCAAACCTTAATCTTTCCGACTACTGCTTATACTCTTGCCGCCTCTACCATTATGGGATTTGAATTGACAATTGTATCTCTGTACTAATGTGGTGTGGCAACTCGGACTGATGTATGTACGAACGAAGTTCTCTACGTTGTTACTAAATGACTGATTGAAATTTTTAAAAAATCACTACAAAATGATCGAAGGAAGTGTCAGGACATACAATGAAACATATTTCCTTTAAAAAAAAAAGAAATGAAAATCTAGAGAAGTGAACAAGAGGAAGAAATGTTTTGGGTTGGAAGAAAAAAATCAAATCACTTTTGAATAAGAACGTTGACATGCAAATTTCATTTCCGTTTGAAAATACTGTGTCGTATTAAGAGAGAGATTTATTATTGTAATAAATCACTTTCTAGTTTAACTTGTGGTTTCTCATTAGTTGAAAAGGGAAAACAATGAAACATACTTACTGACTTTTCAATTTGTGATGCATTCAAATGAAAACCGAAGAATTGATTTAAAAATGCTTGTTCTGTACGAATTAGAGTTAGAATTTTATCGAAACAACTATCAAAGATCTATTATTTAAAAAGAAGAAAATAAAGCAGGAAAAAAAACATGATTAACAATAAACACATGAAATAATACAACACTTGAATCGCTACCACTAGTGACACATGAGGCAAAAGATGAGACAATAAAAGAACAATTAGTATTTGAAATAGAATAATTAGTAGAAAGTGAAGAAAAGTAGCAGTTTCATTTGCTGTTAAATACATGTATGTACTCGTAACTTTCAGTCACCTACTCCATGAAGTGATATCAGTTGAAGAACCATCACCAGAAATCAATGAAGATTAATAAGATCTAGTGGCAATATAACTATCCATATATTTTGATGTTAAAGAATTAATATATCTGTTTACTTGGCCAATCGAATAAAATTTATTAAATTAAATCTCTCTACTGATAGGAATTAAAGTAGACATTTGAAATATTTAAAAAAGTGAGTTCATCCAACTTACAAAAAAAACTTACCGATTCAACTTGAGTTAAAAGATTTGAATCTAAATTATGTAATGACATAACACTTCCAACATCTGATGGTATATTCTCTAAACGTTGAATTTCTTTAGCTAATACATACAAGAAAAAATAAAATATAAATAGAGGCTACGGAATAAATGATTCCACCTTGATATGATGAATATCACAATTACGGAAAATATCAATCAACAGTTGAAATGATAACTCATTATTATCCTTAGTAACAATTAAAGAAGCATTGATTAGTATTTGTAACTCAGTTTTTTTTAAATTCCTTATAAGTAGTACATATTAAAGACTGCATCATAAAGATCGTACACATAACCTGAAGGGAAAATGCAACTTTCATAAAATTGATATTTTGATTGAAACCGGTACCACTAGGAGACAGAGTATACTTTCATTAAAATATCTACTGATATTATCAATTATGGCATTTATAAATAAAAGTCATAAAATAGTGTACATTCATTATGTAATACTTATTTCGATGGTGAAGTGTTCACTAATATTAAGTATAACGACAATGCAACTTATAAACGATTAATTCCATAATGTTGGTCAGTCAGTAAGCTACAACGTAGGACCAGGTACATATATGCATCGGTCCAAGTTGCCATACCGCATTAGCACAGCAAGATGAACACCGGATTCATAGGAGTGGTTAGGTCAAAGGTGGTAATATATGGGAGAAAGATTGCATATAAGGATACAGTACAGGAAGAAAAATTTAGTTCATAGAAAGAAAGATATGAAGCGATTTTAATCTCTTACTTTAAGGGAAGACAGAGAGTGTATACACCTACATCGATTCTGAGCCATGTCACCAAGTGTCTCCAACCATTGGTTACGAAAGTCACGCGGACCCCAACCAAGTATTCTGCATCTACCAACATGGCTCAGACTAGAGGTTAGTGTCTTCAAGCACTGATGCCACGTTTTGGTTTGGCCGCCCCTAACTATATAGTTGGTTCCCTTATAAGAAGTTAGATACGACCAAAAAATAATAATAATTCAGTCCTCAGCTGACTGAAGCCGTAATCGTATAAGAATGGAACACTCAAATATCCCATAATATGGAGTAATAGACATTGATGATGGAGAATTTCAGAATAACAAAGATTTGCAACAATAATTAGACATATATTTGCAAATAAACAAGTGTGAGATCATTTAAAGGTGAGATTTTAAAAAAAAGAATGATGTCCGGAAACATAATAAAATGAATATTGTGGTAAATTATAGAAGTTGTGAAGAGTGTACATCAGTCTCAGATCACTTGAAATTAGATATGCAAGATTTAGAACAATGACGTGACTGAAGGGTTACATGAAAATTATACAAGATTTGACGAATTAACAAACGTTTAAGGAATTGAGTGAATGACGAGATTAGATAATTTCATGTCCAAATGGGCTTCTAACAAATCTTTATCGTTTAAACGAAGCATCTTCTATCAATTAGCCAAAGGAATTTTAGCATTACTGGCCACCTCGCCAAAAATAGCAATTAATTTGTCAATGACTTAATGATACTAAGTATATATGAATATACAATACATGACCAAGAAGTTAACGAAAATACTGCGTTTACAAATTCGTTTTGGTTAAGAAAACAAAAAAGCAATTTTAACTTACATTTCCCAGGTCGGACAAGATTAGCAACGGAGTCTTGTGTACACTTCAATACTTCTTGTATTTGTCGTTTAAAAAAATTTTGTGATTTTTCAATATACATCTAGAAACAATTATAGAAATAGATTGTATGATTTTATATGGACTGTAGTAAAAAATATGGATCAATGTCACAACTACTATAATTACTACTCATTTATAAAAAGTAGTATGTTTCATTCTACAAATATTATAGGATTGTAGATTTTTCAATTACTTGCAAACAACACACAGTTTGCTGACATCACTTCTGTGCAGTTAGTAATATCACATCTCTCGCGAACACTAAGCCTACTGTTTCAAATCTTAACGCTCCTCATAGATCATTACAATATGTAAACTCGATTATCACATCAAGATAGCAAGCTATGGATTACGTCAACTAGAAGAAAAGATTACTCTTCTTGAGTAAACCACAGTTAATAACATGATATGTTGCAGTGTAGCTGTAAAGATGTATCAGTATCTTATAATACAATTGACATAAAATATTAAAATGTCATGTGTAATCACCTGCATAGCTGAGCAATAGACAACCAGGTAACCCAAAAAGGATGTTTTAGCAATAATGAAATTAGTGTAAATTACAAATCCTTCTTGTAAAAGAAAACAAACACATTATTACCCTTTTAATTCCAATATATAAATCTTTTCTATTAGCTTGTAACCAGTTGCCAACTAGTGGAGTTAGTTGAAGTAAGTCAGTTCTTTGAACAGCATATAAATCAGATGCAACACGAAAAGAACTTGTAATCATCATTGATGTTTTCCTATTTCCTCCGCCACCACCGCCAATACCAGATTGATTATTTGATATTGTTGACATTGTATCTGATGAAGGCATACTAATCCCTGTGTTGACAACAAATCCTAATTGACTGGCGTAACGTAACATTGCATCATTTACAAAACCTGATAATTTTGTGGCAAATGAATCACGTAAATTTCTCAATTCTTGCATACGTTCATCTACAGCTTGAAGATGTTCTTCACCTGAACGTTAATAATAAAAATGGAAATGTTACATGACTCTAGATACATAAACCATAATAGTGAATGCAATGAGTGAATATGAACTAAGTAACTATGATCGAAAACTCTTGATTTCGATACCTAACTAATGTAACGGCACAAAAAAAGTTTAAAACTTATTCTACGTAACAATTGATGGTTATAAATAATGTTGAAGATTCTCATTGTGAAAATAGAACAAAACATATAAGCGAACAATAATGTTTTTTAATTAGATCGTCATTAGGCTTAACCCGAATATAAATAAATATTTATATGAAAATATCAAACAAATCAAGGGAATTTATGAGTCAATGATCACAGTGAAATATATTACGCAACAACACCTAGAAGATATGCATGTAATCTGAAATGGGTCAAATAAAGACGATATATAGCTCTATTTTGGCACATCTGGTTAACAGAAGTCATACGATTGATTTATCACATACGTCTGTTATTACCAAATTGGTTTCGACTCTATCTTTTGTATACACCAGAAGACAGTGTTTTGAACTTCGTGACAACCTTATCCCTTCCTTGGTTGCATATGACTTAATAAAATATTTTAATTTTTCCCATACCATGTATTTGTTTGTCATTTTTTTTATCTCTACTCGTCTATATACTCACACATCTAATGAATCACACGTTGAATGTCACTTATTTACTTACTTACGCCTGTCACTCCAAATGGAGCACAGGCCGCCGACCAGCATTCTCTAACCCACTCTGTCCTAGGCCTTACTTTACACATCTAAAGCTTCTCCGTCAAGTGTGATTCGACTGGTGCATGCTGTGTTGTATCGAAGAATCTTGTTTTTACCTTTGTGTATGTTGAGACCTACTGCTGCTGAGGCGGCTGCTACACTGGTCGTCTTCTCCTGCATTTGTTGTTGCGTGTGCGATAGAAGAGCCAGATCATCTGCGAAGTATAAATCGTCCAGCTGCATCCTAGCTGTCCACGCGCTGAATGTTACATAATTCAAATGTTGTGTAATTATTATTTTAAAGTCTATTTATCTATGTTTGACCTACTTCCTATGTTGAACTAATGAACAGAACTTTTATTATTATTATCACTACTTTTCACGTATTATGTGTAGTTATGCAATTGTGACTATGGTCTCACGAATTCCCTTGATTAGTTTAATATTTTCATGTAAATATTCATTTATAATATTCGAGTAAAGCCTGATGATGATCTAATTAAAAACAATATTGTTCGCTTAAATGCGTTGTTCAAACACTGATTACGACAATCATGGAGATTTTAATAAAAGTAGTTGACAACAAGTCAATGAATTCACGATATACCATGTCTTGATTTAGCTGGTTCTCACATTCTGTTATATTGGATGAAAATTTACTCATATTAAAAACTGATTAAATTAGGAAATTCCACAGATTGAAATCATGAGTCAATTGAAGCTAGACCAGTGGAGTTCAACCAGGTCTGTTGTGAGATATCAGCTCACTGAAGACAATGGTATACGGTAGCGCAACTTTGTGCATTGGTTAAAGTTAGACATTAACACCATTGGATGCCGGCTCAGTGATCTAGTTGGTCAAGTGCTTGGCGCGAGACTGATAGGTCCGGGGTTCGAATCTCGTGGGGTGCGGTGATCGTGGATGCGCACTGCTGAGGAGTCTCATACTAGGATGAAATGGCCGTCCAGTGCTTTCAGGTTTTCCATGGTGGTCTAGCTTCAATTGACTCATGATTTGAATCTGTGAAATTTCTAAAATCTCCACAAACCCCTTCTGATAAATTTGGAAATTTAAACGGCTTATTAATGAGAATCTGAACTCTATGAAGTTAATCCTGTCGAATAATACAATCGGATGTATACACTTATGAGTAATTTTCCAAGCTAATACGAAACAACTGTCAAGTGTTTTCATCAGTTGATTGATTTAACTATTCTAGAGATAAAATACGTTTATGGTGAGATAACCATTACCATGTACCATATAAGTAAGTTGTTGATAAGTTACACTAATAAAGAAGATATATGACAATCATAAACATAATACAAATTCTGTTTATTTTTTTACATTATCACATGATCAATAATCTAATGTTTATTTCTCTGTATTATAAAATGGATCATCTCAATGATGAAAGTTGTGCACATGGAAAAAGAGATATACATTGTATTGGTAATCGATAATGTGAGTACTTTCTGAGTGCTTAGGTCATATAGATTTATTATATAGAACTAATAGATGTTTTATACAACTTACATTTATTTACGTAGTTTTAAATCAAATGATTCAAGTATGTAAGAGCTAGTGATATCATTAACTGGATGACTGAAATTCTAGAAGTGGGTTGATTCTATAGACTTGAGTAACCGATGGTGTGAATTTTTAAGTTGGTAAATATTACACTTAAATTATACAATTTCTAATCGCTTATTGTTTGATGAAGCTTCAATGCAAGTACAAATAGAGCAAGCTGACAGAAGCAGACTAGGTGGATCCATGAAAAAATCAAGTGGATCACATACTAAACCTTCACAAAACGAATGAAGTGATCAACTCAATATAGTGCATTCAGACAGAGAGAAACGCAATTCAAAAAAGACTCTTCCATTCCCACTCAGTGTTTAAAAGACTCCGGATTCTCTCTCTTTATTAAAAGTGGGTAGTAATATTTGCAGACAATAAGTCAATTAATAAATTCTTCAATTATGAGATTAGTTTGTGCAGCATTTCGAAGTTTCTGACCCAATTACTACGCGTAGTTACTATTCCGTTTGGTGCCCCCAAATGCCCTGGTATGGCCGAGAGTGGGGTGCCCCCCTCCCTCTCGAAATGCTCTCACATGGCCATGCGTATATAGCCTCTGACAGGGAAGTCCTACTCACTGCCTTCTCGTGGCACTACTGTTGTTTGCGAAAATCAGAGGACGAAAAGCGGATATCCGGCGCTTTAACCGGGTCCCAAACTAGTGGTGCACATGGGCTCCAGTATCCTGCGGGAACAAATGGCGTATGAACCAATCGTTGGTCACCGGCTACCTTGGGAATGCATCTCCTCACGATGCTCCACTGCCTTGTGGGTTAGACCTTTAGGTCCAAGGCTCGGGGTGTGGTTCCCTAAGAAAACCACCTGTTTCGGTCTGGGCACTCGGGCAGTATCACAGCCCGCATACACACAAATATGGTGTGGCGCATATATATTTGGTGCCCTCTTATACCAATATTTATGTGTTGAAATAAAAAAATAAAATTCTGTTTGGTCATACAGACAAAATGACAAAACAATCGATAGGAGCGTTATTACACAAACCTTCTTTAAATTCTGAATTCAGCAAACGATCCAAATATCCAGCAGCTTCGATACAACGTGCAATACCATCAGATGTACTTAAATCACCTTTCATTAATACATGGAAGTATTTTGGATCAACATCTAACCGATCGACTAGTTGTTCAAGTACATTTAATAAATTTGCGCGGTTATCTACTGTAGTTTGGATTAATTGATCATGATCACGTAGGGTAGACATTGCATCTTCAACTTCCTATATGTGAACGGAATGTCAGTGATTGAAGAAAAATATTATTCATCAAAATGGGTATGATAATAATGATAACTATAATAATTATCACAACTGTTAATATCGTCGTAACAGTACATAAATACTTACTTACTCCCGTCACCACTTGCGGAGCATAGGTCGCCGAACAGCAATATTCAACCTACAATAAACTCAGCTTTCCTTTCCAGTTTTTTACAAGTGCTGTTTATTCTTTTGATGTCTGCACCCATTTTTCAGTGCAATGTGTTCCTTGGTCGGTCTTTCTTCCTTCTGCATTCACAATTTTAGGTTGAGGATTGACTCGATGCAGTTTGATGATTGCCGAAGGATGTCCTATTTACCTCCAGCGTCCTTTCTTAGTTTCCTCAACAACTGGAAGCTGCTTTGTTCTCTCACGCAGTAAGTTTTTACTGATGTCCGGTCAAAAACCATCCATCTCTTCCAGAGCTTCTCCATCGTACACTGGGGTGTATGTGTATCCAGTTGATAAGCCCCAAATGGACATATCTTGGATTCTACTAGACACCATCCAAATTTTGTAAAAAAAGGTTACACTATGTTTTCTGACGAACATCCCCAGGCAGATGAACAACAAAGAGTATTATGAGTTCATGTCATTTAAATAAGTGACCACATTAGAATTCGATCGACAAAACTGGTTACTACTAAATAATCAAAGAGTAAATCTGTAAACCTCCCAGTTACGACCCGAATATTGTATTGGTAACAACTATGGAAGTCACTTTGGACGGTAAGGTGGTTCTTAGCACAAAATACAAAGTACCAGTTATCTTGAGATTAGAAAGACACACAAATGTTGACTGGAACAAAAGGTAAGAGTTCAAGCCAATCTGTTGATTGCTATCAATCATCCAACATTAACTTTGACACGAAAAAGTGAAATATACGTAGAATATTGTTAAACATAAGCATTTTTACAGGGTTTAGCAGTCAATATGCTTTTTTTATCACATATATTAGACTGGAATCAGATTCGCTGTTTATTTGTTGAAACGGAAATTTGATGAAACACAAGCTTAACAACACTACAGAAAAAGTGAATATATCTAGAATAAAGTGATTTCAATTATCTTGGAACTCCTTTAATTAATTTCATCCCATTGTGCTTATGTAGTACTCTAGATCACTTATGACTAACTGACAGTCTACTGAAGTATAGTGACCAAATATACTAAACAACAAAGTTACATATGAGTGAGTTGTATGATCATAAAGAGCCTATTATGGAAGTCAGACTGTTGCGACACTCTAAAATTAACTAAAATTTACCGCGCTGAAATACTTTAGGAACCAATCGGTGTAAATTATAGCTAACAGTGGTCGACATGATAGGCGCTGAGATATTATGTGACGTAAGGAATGTTCAAGTTACTAGACCCTATTCTAAGACTCGAAAAATATACAAAATCGCTATGAAACAGCTACAAAATGTAACTTTTGTACGTATAGTAACAATAGTAACCTGCTTTTATGAATAGAATTACGTATAATGAATTTGAAAAGTGTATATAGAAAGATATGGGGAAACAATACAGAGTGATATTATTACCGAATATGTATATTAATCGGAAGTGAGAGGCAAGAGATAAATTTATCTTTTCGTTATATAAACATTTTTTTTAGAAAACTGTTGGTCTGGTACTCCAATCCACTTGACTTCAACTACTTTGCACAAATATAGTGAAAAAGTTGTTAAAGTAGACTTTCACAATGGACTAATGATTTTATAGATGGATAAATGAATCTACCTTAATTATTCAAAAAAAATCATTATACTTTTTACTGCAGAATTTTTTGTTGAAATTAGTTCAGTTTGTAAGTAGTATTGGTCATGTATTGACCTAATAAAAAATCTCAAATTCGGACGAAACAGATGTTTAGAGCTCCCTAGTTCTCAGTAGTAACCTCAACGGATGTTAAATTGTGATGAGTACCACTTACAAATTATCCCATTTTCAGGTTACGCACATGACCGATTTAACACAAGCGTAAAACACACCTATTTAATTATGTCGCTAGCAGCCATTCAACAACAACGTAGAACTTCGTACGTACATACATCAGTCCGAGTTGTCACACCACATCAGTACAAAGATACAATTGTCAATTCAAATCCCATAATGGTAGAGGCGGCAAGAGTATAAGCGGTAGTCGGAAAGATTAAGGTTTGAAGATGTTATTCAAGGAGTATAATACAGTGAAATAAATTTGGAAAGAGAAAAAAAATATGGGGACATGAAGAATTCAGAAGATTAGGATTTGGGTGAACACAAAGAGTGGATACACCTGCGTCATTACAAACGATTTAGGGTCATGCCATTCAAGGTCTCTAACCATAGGTTGCTATTGTTTCACGATTCCAACCAGGTAGTCTACACTTACCAGACTAAGTCGATATACTAATGTGCTGTAACGGCTTAAGACAATGTACATTAGTAACAGGCTTGCTATATTGATTATGAATGATTGATCTCATCAAAAGTTCTTACAGGATAAAATTGATCATATCAATACATAAAAAAAACACTTAAAAATATACAGAGAAAAGAAAACAATTTCAATTTATCATTTAGAAATATTAATAACAAACCTCTAAAAAACTATAATAAATATTTAATTGTTTCTCTAATAATTCAGCTCGTTCAATAGCACTGTCCAATGTTGTCATAAGACTTAATACTTGAGATTCAGAAGACATAATTGAATGAACATTTGTCTATTAGAAAAGAAAACATATGAACAACATACATAGTGTATAAACAAATGAACAGTTCAGTCATAAATAGTAACAACTAGACAATTAAATCCTTATTATTACCAATAATAACAATAATAATACCAGCAGAGGTAGATGATGGCTAGCAGTGGAAACAAAGACACTCGTTTTGTCCTATTTGGAACTTGTCAGTTCGATGTACTTACATCCAAGAGTTGATGTCTACTCAACAGCTCGAACCTAGTAACATCTGCACCCAACACCATCGCGATATCCACTTATCTACTAAGTCCACATATCCACGAACTTGTCTAATAAGGTGAATTTTTATGGGATGTAGATACATCCAGATGATGAGTCCTAAATGAAACGGAACGCATGTTCTCGATTTCATTATGAACCACCATCCAACTCTGCCCAAAAACACTTGCTATTTGATCGCAATATCGAAGCAATTTGCATAGGATGCACATAAGCTAAAAGAGACTGAATCGTTACAGTCCTAAATACAAGTGGGAAGATTAAAACAATCAATACCAATGAGCTATTATTATTATTTATTATTGGTAAAAATCAGAAATGAGCCTATCTGACTTTTACTATGTGTAAATTGATCTCATCAATCAATTTAAAAACTAATGACTTTACATAAAACCAGACCAAATACCATCTATATAAATTTTGTGAAAAGCACTATAAATACACACTACAGAGATAGCCAAAATACAATCGTCAATTGATGTTAGATTGTATCGCGAACTTGATTAACTTCATAACAATATACTACTAAATAAATTATTCTTAGAAATAAAAAGGGAAAATCCAAAGACCAAACATAAATCATCTTACACCTTCAATGTGAGCCAACTGTTCTTGTAAACGTTCTGTTAGTTGAGCAGCATTTAAGAGTGTTGATTCCTCATCAAGTTCATCTAGAAATTGTCGTATATCATCTTCTTCACGTTTTGTCAATGAACGGTATGAATCAGTGACCGGTGCATTGACATCCGACTTATCTTTGTCAACTGATTTTTCATCACCGCCAACATTATCCTCATCGCCACCGGTACCAACCGTCGACATATATTCAGGATCTAACCAAAATATTTTAGTCAGAGAGAAAGGACAAGAATAATTCGTTAAAGTGTTAATTCTAAAACAATTTCTTAGTTTACGTTATGGGTGAGCATTGAAAATTAGGAAATATTGGGCAGCCATTTCATTTTAGTATGAGTCGTCCACGACCATAACAGAGATGAGCACTGCTGAAATGTACCATAACGGGACGAAACAGTTACCCAATCCTTCTTGGTTATATAATTAGGTGTTAACGCGTGATACAAATTCAACAATCTCCGACACTAATGATAAGTATCTAAATCTAAAATTTCTTTTTTATAAGATAGTAGATAATTTGTAAGCAAGATGGTATGTCTTAAGCAAAAATGGATGGTGGTTAGCAGTAGAATCAAGGACGCACGTTTGAGACTCATCAACAAGGATCGACAGCATCTTAGATTTGATGTTCACTTCAGGACTCGAACCCAGCACCGGTAGTATGTTACTCCAGTAACTTAGGATCTTATCAATTGCCGAGATTAAACTATAAAATTCTGTACATTTCACGCATCATTCTAAAGTCTAGCTCTAATACATCAGAGAACAACGGAAATACACATCCTTCTCATCAAAATAATTCCATCTAACTACGAGCTGAATTAGTCTTGACAAAGTTTTGTTGACTGCACCTCATTATAATATATGTATTTCTAACAAACACAGATAGGCGGTTGTTAGAAATGAGGAAAGGACTGAAAATGGAAAAAACTAAGGAGAGCCGTTGTTCGGAAAATCTCTCAGAACATTTTCTGTGTAACTATTAAAAATACGATTCATAATATTTTGACATTAGCTATGTCGTAAGCTTTCATTTGAACTATTAACTGCTGTGATATCTTTTGCTGTCCTAAATTACAATCGATTAATTGAAAACCTATCAGTAGGCTTTACATCATAAATCCCTTGGTGATGTACATAATGAGAATTATTATCAATGGTATTTCGTGGTCTTGAATTTTACCTCTAGAATTGTCAATCTGAGTCTAAATAAAACAAACCAGACCAAAAACCTGGTAGATTTTCTAGTGTTCTGACAGGTGGTTTGTCAACAAATTGTGAAGTCGAAGGATGCACGACGTTGACGTTGAGTAGAACGGTCGGTATAGGTAACAAATTGGTTTACTATAATACAAAGATTCATCGAGTGGAACGTTTAAGAGAACTTTGATAACCTATAAGGTTCAATCCTAATTGATATATTTAAGGTAACCTTAATTTATGAAAGTGAAATGTTACATTTTCATATCTGTTTTAATAACACAGTTGCACTCACTTTGTCTAACCTGACATGACAATTTTAGAATGTCGAAGTAACTAATCGATAGACTGAGCATTCCATACAAAATCCTCAACCCAAATCAGGCAATAAACTTTGATAATCTTATCAAACAGTTGTTCTCTTATTCACAACGGTAAAACTTAGTTATTTCAATCAGTTCATAAGGTGTTAAAAGTGATAATATCAATAGATAGATAGATAAAAAGTGAATTATAACATTAATTGAATTCTTAAGTCCGGTGACAAAAAATATGACTTTAATAGAATACCATATAACAACCGAAAAACTACTGAACCAGAGAAGTCAGTGATATCATTAACCTAATATTTCATCCACTTTTAGACAATACATACGCGTTTTTTCAGTGTAACACATTAACAACTACAGATTCACGTACTCAGCCTTCAGAGATTTTTGTATGTGACGGCTAGTGTGATATTACAGACCTACCCTAACCAAGGTATGAAAAAAAAACGATTGCAGAACTTGTACCCCAAACATTGATATAATTCAAGTGCATAATAAAATATACAACCCATTCTAAAATTATGAGACAAATTAACGAAAAGAAATCATAAACGTTAACTCATTCTGCTTACTAAGCAAAGCATCCAATGTTTCATGTTGACTAAGTGGAGAAATATTTATATCTTGTGGGAAATTGACTAATTCTATATCTTTGATCACATGTGGTAGAAGTGTTGCAAGCGTACGACAAAATGAACTGACAAAATGTCTTTTTTCTTCTAATTTCAAAGCATTAAATACCCATATCTGAATTAATGGAAATATAGGGAAAATAAGGGAAAATGAATGGAGTCTAGAACAAATGAACATGATAATTTATGTCCACAAAATAATACGAAGGTAAAAATTGTTACTTGAAAATATAACTTAATGCACAAACGTATTAACAACCCAGACATGACTCAGCTTCCAGATAGCAGGTATTTCAACTAGACTGAATAGATTATTCTAGTTGTATGACAAAATCCAGTGCATAATTTGCAGTATGTAAAATAAAAAAAATGTTACTGATACCAATATAAAATTACTGATATGGTCAAACGCACAAAAACCATTACACAATATGGCATTCAATAGTGCTTGAATAATTCCGTGTACTGATGAAAGAAAAAATCATACGTAAATGAAACTTGAACATGTATAAGGGTCTTACTAATAGCGTAATCTCACAAGGAGTACCATTTCATTGCTAAAATTACGCATAAAACCCGGGTTGGTCGCAAATATGAAGGGGGAGAGACGCATCTCAAACATCCTGGCATTGTTGTTCAGTGCTACCAAAAGACTCGGCATTTTACCAGCGCCTTCACCAAACAGGACTATGTCATCTGGGTACTCTGAGTCGATAAGTGGAACTCCTGGGAAGAGATATTATTTATTTATTTATTTATTTGAACACATAAATATTGGTACAAGAGAGCGCCAATATATATGCGCCACACAAAACAATGGGAATTCGAAGAGAAGTAGAAAGAAAAAAAAACTAAGAAACGCAAAAGAAAAAGAGAGTAATGACGAAGAGGTACAATCAGAAGAAATCTTTCAGGTAAGGGAGACACAACCACTTTTTATGAAGAAAGTAAAAGAAGGTTACAGCAGGATCGCCACTGGCTTCTATTCTGAGCCACATCTGATAACGTCTCTAGCCACTGTGTAGCACCATCTCTCGGACCCCAGCCAGGGAGTCGTGAAGGACCAACACAAGCCAGTCCTTTGCAGCTTTCTTTCATGCCACGACACCATGTCATGCACTGACCACCTCTCCGCTTCTTCCAACCAGTCCCAGAGTCGGCGAATAATGCACGACGTGGAATTCTCTGAGACGACATTCGGAGAACATGTCCAAGCCACCGAAGTCGGTGTTCCAAGATGATGACACCAATTGGATTATCGTCTCTGTGCCCGAACACACGATGCCGAACCTCTGCATTACTGACATGGTGTTGCCACTGAATGTCAGCAATCCTTCGGAGACAGCGATGATCGAACACAGAGAGTCGTCTAACGTCCTCAACTCGGAGAGGCCAGGTTTCACAAGCATAGAGCAAAACTGCTCTCACCGACGCGTTGTAGATCCGGCCTTTTACAGCCAGACTAACATCACGAAGGCGCCAAAGGTGGCCCAGATTGGCATAAGCCGCTCTGGCTTTCACTATTCGTGCATTGATCTCATCACTCACACCCCCACCAGCACTTATGCAGCTACCCAGATACACGAACTTCTCAACTACGTCTATCTGCTCACCGTCCAGGGTGAGTACAGGATTAGAATCCTGCCAGTCTTGTAGAAGTACTTTGCACTTCGAAGGTGCAAAGCACATACCATACCTACGGACACTGATTGCCAACTGATTAAGTGCGGATTGCATGCCTTGGGCATTATCGCACAGTAAGACAATATCGTCCGCATACTCAAGGTCGAGAAGTCTTTCTCCAGGCAACAGATCCACACCACCATTACTTACATTCATCAGAGCTGTTTCCAGAATGTCATCGATGGCAAAGTTGAAGAGGAATGGTGAGATTGGGCAACCCTGCCTAACCCCACTGCTCGAATGGAACAATGGAGAGAGGTGGTTGTATGCCCTTACTCTGCCTGAGGTGTTTTTATACAGGGCTTTTAGGATGTTAATAAACTTCTCAGGCACACCCTTCTTCAATAGACAATCCCAGAGAACAGTCCTATCCAACGAATCGAAGGCAGCCCTGATGTCAAGAAACACTACGATTGTTGGCCTTTGAAAAGTATGGCGGTGTTCTAACATTTGGCGGAGGGTGAAGATATGATCAATACATCCTCGACCAGAACGAAACCCAGCCTGCTCCTCGCGAGTCAATCTTTCTCGGGTTTTGAACAACCTACGAAGAATGACGGAAGCCAATAGCTTGGACGCAATCGGAAGTAAACTTATCCCCCGATAGTTGTTACAAGAACGACGTGAACCCTTTTTAAAGATAGGGACAACTATCGACTCATTCCATGACGTTGGCACACTCTCTAGTTCCCAAACCTTTGTAAACAACGTCGTCAATTCCTTAGTCAAAAAGTCACCACCATCTTTAAAAAGAGCCGGAGGTAAGTCATCTGGGCCAGGTGATTTGTAACGCTTCAAGAGTTGGAGTTCCTTGCGGACATCCTCCTCATTTGGTGGATCAGTCGTCACCGGCCATGGAGGGCAGGACAGTCTGACCGATGTTGCCGGAGCAGCAGGCCAGTTGAACTGCCCTTCGAAAAATTCTGCCCATCGTCCAAGACGTCGATGGATGTTAGTGATTGGCATCCCATCATCCTCGCAGATTGTTTCACTCACACCAGACTTCTTGCTGCCAGTGGCTCGGATGAGTTGGAAGAGCTTCCGGTAGTTACCAGATGCAGCTGCTGCTTCCAGCTCATTAGCACGCATCGACCACCAGGCTTCTCGGTCCTTACGCAAGCTTTGCCCGATTTCCTTACGTAACATCCTTCGTTTATGGTCAAACTCACGATCACCCGGAGTAGACCGACGGGCTTCAATGAGTTGTAAGGAACCAGAAGAAACCCAGTGCTTAAAAGCGGGACGTTTCGCAAACCCACAACTGACTGTTCCCGCCATTTTCATGGCGTCATGCAATTGCAACCAATGCTCATCTATACTTTTCGGTGGAGTGGTAGCTAGCCTAGAGGCTAGCTCGGTTCGATACTTACTTGCAACAGAAGTTGCAACCAGCTTGCTAACATCAATCCGTTGATGGCGTTCACTTGGGAAGAGATAAATGGCTGAAAATTCAGTCGATGAGGACGTTATTACCAGTAGTGAGTTTGTGATGAGGTTGAACAAAAATAGAGATAGTGGACAGCCTTGTCGGACAACACTTGAGGTTAAAAAACCAGATGACAGTTCGCCATAAGCTCTGACTCGACTGATAGTGTTCAAGGAGAGAGCCCTCACAAGGTTTATGTACATCTGAGGTACATATCCCAATGACAGACACTACCACAGAACCTCTCGGCCGAGTCAAATGCTGTTTGTAGGTCAAGAAAAACTATCATTGTCGGATGCCGATAAGCAGGCCTGTGTTCGAAAACCTGACGAATGGTGAATGTGGTCGATGCAGGCACGACCAGGTCTAAAGCCAGTGTGATTTTCTCGTGTTTGCAGTTCAAGAGTCATGATTAGGAGTCTGATAATTCTTGAGGCCAGTATTTTAGATGCTATATAAGTCAAACTAATCCCTCTATGGTTTCCACAGGATGATTTTGACCCCTTATATATTGGGACAATAAGTGATTGTGATCAGTTAGATGGGATTACGTCCAACTCCCAGATTTTAATCAGCCTAATTGCCAAAACTAGACCACCACACTTGAAGACCTCTGCAGCCAATCAATCTTCCCTTCATCGTTTCAGATTAGCAATAGCTTTTTGAACTTCAGATAGAGTCGGGGGACCTACTTCAATGTTCCATTCACACTGTCTGGGAATGATGGGTAGTTTTAAAGTATCTGAGGGCCAGCTGGACTGCTACTTAAAGTTTCGCCCATTGTTCTAAACGTCTGGGCTGATGTTTATTCAGCTGAATACTTATATTGGTACAAGGGGGGCACCAGATATATATGCGCTGAGCAGATAAGTGTCGTCCTATTCCGAGATCGCCTCGCACTTCTTAATTCCAGTTTCTTTTATTAGTCCGAAGAGCTGCTTGGTGTTACCTACAGCCGCTGTCTTTTCCATCTCTTTTGCTTTGTCACCCACCACTGCTCACGGTCGTTTCTTAGACTTTTGGTTAACCTAGATCTGATTTGCTTTCGCTTTTCATCGTATTCAGAGTATGATGGGAAAAGTTTACGAGAATCCATCAGTGCAATGGACTAAGTAGAAATCTATCGGCTTTTTGTGACCATTTGGTTTAAATCACTAATAGATGTCGCTGTTGTTTCCACAGGTGTGAATACCGGAATATGTGTAAAAAGATCATAGCTGGATGCTGCACCACCTTAGAAAGATAGTTAGCATGCGACAGCCGAACTTGACCAATGTCACGCGACAAATACGAAAACAGATCTGGTTAAAGTAGAGATGTTCATCCGAGTTCAATTCCATTGGTATCTCAACCGCACCACGGATATCAACCATAAGACCAGTACATGTTACTGAAGAAGCTATCCTAATCGTTCAAAAGTCTGATCTGGTCACTGATTTCTGATAGGTTACATCCCCGGTTGCTATCATCCCTCGGATACGCTATTTCAACACAACCCACGATGTTGTTCAAAATATCCGTTTCCCAAACTTCACAGTTATAACTATATTTAGGTATAGAAACAAATCGTGCCTACCAAAATTTGAGTCTAACTACGACAGTAGTTAAATCACTTGAAAAATGATTTGGGCTGTTGCTTACTAAGTCACGTAGAAACATATAATCTGTTAACTCCCGAGGAACACGGGTTTTGAATTAAGCAGTTATGCTTACCTAGCTTACTAATTGCGAGAGAGGATCGGACAGCAGCCCAAGATAAGGGTTTCTCTGTCGGTGTGATACTCATCGATTTTAGTAAGGCATCCAACGTCATTAAGGCTTAAATAGAAACTCTTTAGCTTTGGGATTACAAGTGCCACAAAAGTGTGCTTAAGAAACTCCTACTGTGACCAAAGACAGGTGAGGGTATGTTGGACACTATATCAATGGGAACTAGTCAAGAGTGATGTATCCTAAGGTATCATCTCAAACTCCCATTCCTTTATACCTCTAAATCAATGAATTACCGAGATTGTTTAGGTACTCTACACTGTTGTTTGCAGATGGTGTTGGAAACTGTAGAAGCTGGATCATCACGAGAGAACAAGCTGAAGAAATTAGCACAAGCTCACTGTATACATAGTGAGTTTCTACTGATGACTAGGATAAAATACCATGTCAAAAGAAATGTCACGGTTATTTCCAGAATGAAAAAGTAACGTTACGAAGACTAACCTTATTTTCTGTAATGATTTGTAATTCATAGCTAGGTTGAGTTTTTGTATCTCTGCAGTCAATTTTTTTCAGATTCTTCGCGTTGCATACTTGCACTTTCTTAATTTCATTTTTATCCGTAATCTTGACCAGATAGACCTGAATGCTCGTAGGCTTCGTTAGTGAAACTAAGATATTGTTAATGATCTGTACTAATTACTTGTAAAAACTAAATGTTTCCGTTTGTGCTTGCTTTGGTGTCCAGATATAACACCAATCGACAAACCGACACGTTCATTTATAGGGTAAAATAATCGTGAGAGTTGATTAGAGTGATTTTCGGACATTGGAGCCGATAAATTCGTGCCGAACAAACTAAGATCTTAGATGTAGCGGATCGCGTCTAGTCGGAAGGAAGTCGAATGCACGACCCAGCAAGTGCACACCATGCGCTTACACTTATTAACAAATGCGATCAAGCGAAACCAGAACTCAGTTCAACGCACTACACTATTAACCAGTTTGGCGCTACGAAATATAAAACAAATTTCCGCAAATTTGTCGATAAATTCAAACAAATATTTATTGTTTGATACAATAAATATGCCTTTTTGAATATACTAGATTTTCAAAATTGATTTATTAACAGTCAAAATCTATAACTTTGTTCAAGTTGTAACGCAATTTCATCATCTCAAAATCTCGAAGATGATTGGCCAGTTAAATTTTTTGACCTGCCTATGTTAGATTGATTGTAATGAACTAGTTAGGCTTATTCGTATGCATAAGGCCTTCCCTATCTAGTCTATATAGACTCGTATTGCCATCATAGCTAATCTAAGCTCCCTTTGTTATTGTTTTGACTGGTAAGCGTAGTTTACTATCAATGGTATCTTATGCGCTTATATTTGCTTTTATGCGATGGAGCATCTGATTTCGGATTGAAATTTTTTTCCAGATACATTGGAACTATTAAATAATCATGAATAAGACTAAAGATAAGAATAAACCTAAGGGTCCTATGTCTGCTTATGCCTGTTTTGTACAAGTTATTCGAGAAGAGCACAAAAAGAAGCATCCTGGTGAACAAATTGTATTCAGTGATTTTTCAAAAAAGTGCGCAGAACGATGGAAGGTTAGTAGTCTCTTTTTTTTCTTCTAAATCTTCAACTTTAATCTTACAGTTAATGACGCCAAAAGAGAAGAAACGATTCGAAGATCTAGCTGTTTTGGATAGAGAACGATTCAATCGTGAAATGTGTGATTACGTGCCACCAGATGGTATGAAAAAAGGGAAGAAACGCAAGGGTCCTAAAGACCCCACAGTACCTGCACGAGCCTGGTCTGCTTTCTTTTTCTTCTGTGATGAATTCCGTTCAAAAGTCAGAGAAAGCAATCCGGATTGGAAAGTTGCAGATATTGCTAAAGAACTTGGACGTCAATGGGAAACTTGTCAAGATAAAGCAAAGTATGAACTATTAGCTCAAAAAGATAAACAGCGTTATGAAGAGGTAAATTATTCACTTTGGTTCATAAGTATTTTTCTAATTCCTCTGAGTTTATGCCGGTATTGTATCTGTAAAAAATTACTTTCGTTTCAGGACATGATAAAATATCGGGCGGGGACTTATGTTCCTAGAGAGAAGAAACTTGCAGGTGCTGTGTCAAACTCTGCATCTATCAGGACTTCTGAAGCTCAGAATCCAGATTGTGCTACAGTTACCAGTGCTGGAGGTGATGAAAACGGTGCGGAGTTAGAAGATGAAGATGACGGCGAACCTGATGAGGGTGAGGAAGAGTGAAGATCAGAACATTAGGTTTTTGATAACTCAGTTGTACAGGTTTATTGCATTTATAATGTTCTAATCCCCTTCCAATTCTTACCTAAACTTTGTATACATTGGTTTTATTGTTATTTTTGTATCATTCATAAATTGAATGTACATCATTCATACTTTGACTTTCGTTTATTGTGTGATGTAAGATTCTGATAAACATATATATTATTGTTCATTATTGAGTGTTACTGTATTGTAATTTATAGTAGTACAGTTATATTCACGAGCTCGACTTTTCAACGTTTGAAATAAGGAGACGGCATGTTGTATATTCTTTTTTTTCCTGGACTACCGGGTACGTGTGGGTCCTTTTCTAGAGTATCTAGTCTTAAATAAGTTGGTCGTAAACCCGGGCCAATTCTATATTATATCCCGAAAGTTGGCTTAGCAATCGGGAAACCTATACAGCAGGGATCTCTCATTCTTAACTTGTAAGCTCATCTGCTCTACTATTGTTATTCTTATTTAGATGATTGTAAGAGAGGGCTAAATCAGCCCCAGAACTGTGGTTAATTCGCTAAATAATCTACGATGGAGTGATGTGAATAATCCTGACGCCGGACACTTCAGTACATACGAGTTATAGCACTAAGTTTCCCCTAAAGATCTGAACCACTAGATTTCATGTTAACATGTCACCAAAAAGCCACTTCCTGTGTGATAAGCACCATAAATATTCACTGATTACTTTCCTATCAACGAAAAGTCAGTTAATCTTCCCAAAACTGCATGATATAAGAAGGATGAAAATGTCAATCATAACGTAGAACGAAAAGGCTGGGAGGTGTGGATGGTAACATTGTCTTTACTTTAGTTAAAGAATATTCATATATGCATAGCTTAGCGGCATTAGCATATCCGAGTTACAGATGAGATGTCACAGTTTGGTAAGTGAATATGTATCCAAAACTCCATGTAGAAAGATCTGTTTAATCTCTGTTATTGGGGTGATCTTTCCCATCAACTGAACATAATGCTTCCTCTACGATACCAGACAATGGATTAGAATACTAAACAGGAAAAAGTGTTATTTACTTTGATATAGTCTCGCAACGTACTTTCACTGAATCTGGTTGAGGAAAAAAATCTTGTCGGCACAATGTGATGGACCTATCCCAAAGCTTCTTGAAGATCGATGAGTAACTGAAGGCTACAGGTTACTGTGCTAGGTCTGCTAACATTCAAATTCTATGTCGAGATGTACAAAGCCTTTAAACTGATCTGGGACTTAATCATTACAATTAAGTATGTTTCGGCATACACTAAATGCGAAAGTAAGAGTATGAGATTCCAAAATACTTCCCTCTTACAATATCCCAAAAGTCAAAATAAGTTACGATTTTAAGACCACGCTCGCTGGCACTCGGAAGCAGCCATGGGTCTTAGAACACAATTGATTAAGAAGGATATGCACGATGGCAGACACACGCTAACCACACTTTACACACTATTAATAAAATCCACACTGGAATAATGCGGGAGTTTTAAACCATTATTCGCGAACGAACTCGGATCTTCTGCAGAGTTTAGTGAACTACTACACTTAAGATTTTGAGGTGGTTCATCCAATGTACATAGGATGACTTCATAACACTATCTTAGACGAATCAATTCAAATACTAGGGGATTTCTCATCTTGCACTCTGGGTGATTTCACTTTATAGTCAGATCTAATGAAGCGATACCTTCTGCATAGATTATTTCGCCCATTACGTAATCTCACCTTGAATATTTAATATGGTAATTGTCTATCACTTTATATTACTTGATGTTCACTCCATTTAATAGTCACTCAATTATATTAGACCTACACATTAATTCAAGTAATTAGTATATACAACTAATTTCATCATCTGGGAATGTTAAACTTATTTTGCTTACAATTTTAAATTTGGATTTTGACATATAAAGTTAATTCAGACTACATTGATCCTGAGTGCTGTTAGAGAAATGAGGGCAGCTATCACTTCCCGGTTGCCCACACCGTGGGAGGGTCCTTCTAGAGGTACCTGAAAAGGAAATTGGATTAGATATGGTCTTAGTGACCTGAGAGCGTGACCACAGTGCCCAAGGGACAACTGCTTGAGGTCGGTCACACACGACCTTTTTGTAATTTTCGTGTTAGCTCCGTACTTACTGGAACCTTACCGCTGGAGACAGAAATCCATGGGACAAGACGAGATGTGCATTTTAATGGTCAATCTTTTCTAACACCACTCCTTGTGGCAAGGCAGCACCGTTGCTATGCTGGTTTCCTGAACGAAACACCTTACTACCGTCACACCTCCGTACAGTTAGCAGTACGACTTGGTGTTCTGACCTTGAGTTTGCTGCTTTTAGTCTTGCCGCTCGTCAGCCGACCTGTCTGGCATGGTAAGACCTTGCGGAACCATTGTTCCAGCCAGTATAGCTCGACTGGACCACCACAATAGGCAAGCCCGACCTCCGTGTCAAGGTAACTGCAACGGTCATGTCTACAATTGGTTTATCTGCATAGAATATAGTTTAGTCTAAGGATATTATTAATCATGAACTAATATGATCTAGAAAATGTTTTAACAATATAAAACTCCAGAATAGCCATTTCTTCCTAATCTAGAACCGCTCATCAGTAATCCATGAGATCGAGATCAAAAGCTATCATTTCTCGAAACGACTGCTTAATGGTTTATTCATTTAGTTTGGAAATATGTTATGGCTTTAGGTTGCAGTCGATTTTTACCCTGTGCTAATTGTTGTGTCCTTGACTGGAAAATTAGAGAGCAGCGTACTTATCGACCAATTACAGTGACACGTAAACACGAACGGACGGCCTAGAGTCTCGATTGGCCCCACTTCCCTGTCTAGCCCAGTTAGTTGAGTCCAGAACACAAGTCACAGCCTCGGAGATATGAATCATTATATTTCAAACATACTTTGTTTATATACTAATCAAGCATACCACATCGTACCATAAAATAGAAAACAACATTTTGTACAATATTCAGCAAGTGAACAGATATCGACCAATAGGAAATGTCCATTTAAAGTCCAAGGACACCATTGGACTTAACATGATAATTATTGGTCTATTCCTCCGCATCCACAACAAAATACCATAATTTTAACCTTCAAGTTCACACGATGATGATTGTGTAGTTGCTCAGTTGGACATTACTAAATTTATCTTTGAAATTTCAATTATTGTGCTTACACAGTTTGTGTGCAACAACATTTTTTTAGAATATTCCATGTCTCTTCTTCAGTTGTTAACTCTCTCCAGGGGATTTTAAATTCGGTTTGCTGGTTGTATGTTATCGCTATAAAGTTCTTCATATTTTACACTGTTGTCTTTCTTAATAGCCCAATACGTTTGTCTGCTTTATTGCTCTTAGACTTAGATATTATTCGTTTACACAACGCAAACAAAGGAGTCAGTAATTATAAGAGTTATCTCCAGCAATAACCTGTGTGATAATAATAACTGTTTGAAATCATCAAAATTTGACTGGTTAGATTGAATTTTGACT